CTCCTAGCTATGGTTGTCATGTAGGGTTAAGGGAATGTGGTGAGTGAGCTCTTTTCCGTGGGTTTTTGTGGTTATCCACACACCTCCGAGTACGCCTCCCCTACATCCATATAAAGTCACCTCAAACTATGCTATCGTATATGGTGCACTAAGCTCGTAGCTCCTTTCAATGGATACTATCCACCGTCCACACCGAGATTTTATTCTTAATTCTATCTAGGACAGCTACCTATATCAGGGGTTCGGTTGCCTCGACCACTATAGGTCCCTATTTATACATCTAACCTCGATTTGCTTGATGGCGCATACACGTCTTACTCTAAAACTCCAAACCCAGCGTAGAAGCGTAAAGTAGCTAGTAAAAAATATTAGGGCGACTTACCCAAACACAATCAATGCTAGAATAGTAATAAAATTAACTAGATAAACACATTCATTCATGCACAACCTATAAAACAGGGTTCATCTTTCCTAAACAACCATTATAGATTCCAAGTCATTAGAGAGAGGAAGAAAAGACAAACTTGAAGAGGAGAATGATGGAATCAAGCTTCTTCGCCTTGCTTGCACCTTCTCCTTGCTTCTTGGGTTGAATGGATCTTCAATGAAGCTCTCACAAGGAGTTTCCCTATCTAAAACACTCCAAAACCTTAACTTTCTCACTCTAGGGCGGCTCCCCTTTAAAAAATGCAGCAAGAGGGGTATTTATAGAAAGTTGATGGCGGTCAAGGCCTCTAGGGCGTTACCCAGTGGTCACGGTCGTGACCAAGCCGTGACCTGCTGGCTGCTAGAAAGTGTCAGGCTCACCCGAAAAGAAGCGTTTTGCTCCTTCTTTAAGCTCCAAGATCGGGGCCTCCTTCTTAAGATTGCGTTCGTGATCTTTTGTGTCCCTAGTGCGATCTTTTTCGCAGTCAAAATGCACCATGTTCGCGATTCTGCTGAGTAAACTTTCTGCCTTCTTCTTGGTCGCCTGCTGCAGTTCCCGACCACTGATCATGACCGCGATCATCAGGATCATCGTCACAGCCTAGTCAAGGGCAATGACCTGTGGCCGTTACCAGTGTTTTTTCTCCCCTTCTTGCTAGTATGCTTTCCAATCGTGCTCGAATGAACTCCAATCGATTCTCGATCACCTCAGGCCGAATCCGTGATATGTAGCTTTCAAAAATCCATGAAAATGGTATTTCTAAAAAATCGCTCGAAATCTGTGTTAGTGCCTTTTTAGAATCTGCCACAAATGGCCAGGGAAAAATCTGCGCCAGTAGGTGATTAATAGACTTAAGGACTTTGCTACGGTGACTTGCACTTTCCGGTGGACCTCAGTTACGATTAGGTCGACCTAATCTGTTGTTTCAGTGCAAAAACGGTTTCATGGTGCCTACTTTGGAGATTCATATCTTATAATTGGGTCGATCTCCACGAGATTAATGACTTGTTTTGAAGCTGGAGTGTCCCTCTACACATCGAAGTACTTGGGAGCTCGATAGGAAGTCTAGAAGACCATTTTTGAACCTTATCAAAAGACTATGCCAAACTAGGAAACTGCCTGAAAATTGCCAAGTCTGGGAATGTGTTTGTGAAGTCTACTTTGAAGCTCAATTCAAGAAGCACGGATGAGAGCCGAGTCCAGGGCCTCTACCACGTGAAATTAGGTATGTTTGTATACGAATCCAAGGCATTGGATAAAAGATTGGATATCTGGAAGGCTTCAAACAAAAGGCTCGAAGTTGCTACGAAGTAAGCTGCCTTCTAGCACAAGCAAGCACCCAGAAAAACAACCTTTGTAGCCATTTTGAGCCTTTTGTTTAAAGCCTTGCAGATATCCAATATTTCATCAAATGCATTTCCTTTGTAGAAAAACATACATACTTTCATGCGGTAGAGGCCCTGGACTCGAATCTCATTCATGCTTCTCGAATTGAGCTCCAAAGTAGACTTCACAAACACGTTCCCAAACGGCTATTTTCAGGCAGTTTCCCAGTTTTGGCATAGCCTTTTGATCAGGTTCTAAAATAGTCTTCTGGACTTCCTATCGAGTTTCCAAACACTTCAATGTGTAGAGGGACACTACAACTTCAAAACAAGTCATTAATCTCTAATTTCCATTGAGCCAATTGTAAGATATAAATCTCTAAAGTAGGCACCATGAAACTATTTTTAAACTAAAAAAACATATTAGGTCGGCCTAATCCTAACTGAGGTCGACCGAAAAGTGCAAGTTACGGTGACTTTCAAGGCACTATAGACGCAACCTAGACTTAATCATCGGTAAATAATAGTCTCATGTCGAACCCATTATCTGCAGCCTTCAAAATTATAGTATCCTTTCAAAAAAATTCCCCAAAATATTACGAAAAATAGCCTTCAGAATTGGACAAAAATAGCTGATACAAAATTTACTGGAATCTGTAATGAATAGGCTTAAAAATTGGCTAACAATAACGTTAAAAAATTGACAATATTGAGTGAAGAATAATCTTCAAAATCGGCGAGTAATAAGCTACAAAAAAATTGACATAAATATGTGAAGAAAAACCTTCAAAATCGGCGAAGAATAACCGATAAAAAATCAACCAAAGTCTTTGACGAATAGCCTTCAAAATTGACGAAGCATAACCAATAAAAAATAAAATAAAATAACATTTGAAAAGTAGCCTTCAAAAAGTGACAAAAAATAACTGATAAAATTCAGTAAAAAAATGTGATAAATAGCCTTCAAAACTAATAAAATAATAACAAAAGAAAAATCGACCAAATTGGTGAAAAATGACTTCCAAAATTGGACAAGAATAGTCGATGAAAAATTACCAAAATATTCTTTAAAATTGACCAAATCTGTGAAGAATGGCCTTTAAAATCGGTCAATAATAACCGATATACGATGCCAAATTCTATGAAGAATAACTTTCAAAATATGTAAAGCATAGACTTAAACAAAACTGTCAAAACTTAAAAAGAATAACCGTTAAAAAAATCTACCTAAAAAATGTGAAGAATACACTCCATATCGGTCATGAATAACCATAGAAAATACTGAATTCTATCACGACTAACCTTGAAAAAAGCTCAACAATAGCCAATAAAAAATCAGTAAATATGTGATGAATAACCTTCAGGGTATGCTTATGGTGACATGCATGTCACCGTATCTTGTACTTTTAGGTCGACCTCATATAGGATTAGGTCGACCTAATCTGCACTTTTAGGTCGACCTAATATGTCGTTTCAGTTTTGTGAGGTTCCCAAATACACTAATATGGGCACCCTGATGACTTAACACGATCGACCTTTAAAATGTAGTGGGCGGCCATTTGTAGTTTAAGTTGTCATTGTTGGTCGACCACAATCAAACATCGGTCGACCTTTTCATTGGCGTCAGAATCAAAATGGTCGACCGTAAAGGTATATAGGTGGACCACTTGATGGCGGTCATTAACAAAATGGTCGACCATTTACAGAGAGAGGTCGGCCAAATAGAAGAGAAGGGGTGTATCCATTTATCCATCATCATTTGACGTAAAATGAAGATCAAGTGTTGGTTTCGCGGTCGACCTAATCCGGTACGAGGTCGACCGAATACAAGAAAATCAACCTATGCCCTCCGTCTTCTTTGCTTATGTATGTCGATGTGGGTGGTTCTTTTGCTCGTACAAATTACGTTTTAAACCAACAGAATTAGTCATAAATAATGATAACAATGACTCATAACTTCCACGTGGTCGACCTCTTGAATCACGTACAGCAACAATCGCAAAGGATCTTCTTCACAAAAGCTCTAACCGTAAAAAAAACCTAATTCATAGTTTCGGTGGCGGTGAAGGTGACGTATATTCATATTTATAGATATTTAGGATGAGAATGGGTCAAATTAAGTGGTAGATAAGTTAGGGTTACCTTTCTGGTGTTGGAATCCTTATCCAATACGGATATGGTGTGCCCGTGGTCGACCTCGTACTTATGCGGTCAACCTCAGTTAATCAAAATGGTCGGCCTATAAGGTATTTGGGTCGATCTTTCATTTTGTTCGCTTCCAAAGAGGTCGATCATTTGCTATATAAGGTCAACCGCGTCGTTGAACCTCACAAAATTGAAACTATTAGGTCGACCTAATCCTATATAAGGTCGACCTAAAAGTGAAAGTTATGATAACATGCATGTCACCGTAGCAAAGTCCTAACCTTAAAAATGATTAAATCAACATACATAACAGACAAAAAATCAGATAAAATCTTGGGGTTAATTGCATGCTTGGTCACTGAAATTACAAAAAAAACGTTCATGTTTGGTCACTAGAAATATTTAATTCCGTTAGTGGTCATTAACTTTACATTTTCGTTTCATCATTGGTCACTCTCCGTCCAACTCCGTTAAGTTTGTACTAAGTGACAGTGAACTCTATTAGTTGACTGTTAAATGAGTGATATGGCAAATAAAAAAAATAAAATATTTAATAATTTCCAAACATTAACCACCTCCCCTAAAAACACCACCATTTCCCACCTGCGCCGCCGGAGACCACCTGGGTACAGACAAATTGTTTCGTCGGATCTCATCTCCGCAAAGGTAAAGGTAAAGGTTCAGGGGGCAGAGCGTGGTGGGTATGGTTAACGATCATTCGATATGTGTGCACCCTTTTCGCAGGCAATGGATCACAACGCCAATAGGCAATGGCGCAAACGCAGAAACTTCCTCGATTACTGTCGAAACCTGCTGGAACGAGCTCGTTGTTCGAGCACATTGACGACACTAGCTGCCTCAAATTGATGTACTTTGCTGAATAATGTATGAGGTTGATACTCTTAATTCACCTGTCCAAATCCCATTGGATTGATTGTATTTAACATTTCAAGATGAACAAGCAAAAAACCACGATATCCTCTGCTTTCATGCGAATTTCTTTAGGTTAAACAATGTAGCAATTAGGCCCGAGCTTGACAAAATCACCAATTGCACTGCATCAACTTCATGTGCCCAGAAGCAAAGCATACTTGCATTAACAGTGCCCCTACAGCATAGGAAGCAGCAGCATCTACGACACGAATCCAAGATCGCGGAGAAGTACGACACCCGAGTCGCTGTCCAAACCACCCTCCTCTCCACCCGCTGGTGCACCTCCTGAAAATCAACCCTCACTTCCCTCCACTTCCAAACCTCCTCCCCTCCGGCCGACGCCAACCGCTTCCGCCTCTTCGTCGAAAAGATCCTCACCCTCTGCGACCCCGATTCCGCCGACCTTTCCACCCTCTCCCTCGTCGCTCACCGACCCCGAATTAACTGATCTCTTCGATCGGATCTACTCCTACGGCTCAACCCACCGCGCCCGAACCTTCCACTTCACCGACCTAACCCTAACCACCGCAATTAATCCATTCCCCCCAAAAATTCACCTCCCTCTGCGCAATTGTCAAACACCTCGAAATTTCCACCAAATTCGATCTCCACAAACTGATCGTCGAGTCCTCGAATCTCCCAACCTAACCTCGCTCCGCCTCTGCCGTTGCGTGATACCCACCTCGACCCGAACCGTGGCGGTGTATTCCGACCAGGAGCGCTGCATTCACAAGTCTTTTGAGTCCATGCCGAATGTGGAGAAGTTGGAGCTGGTCCACTGCGAGTTCGAGACTACCATCATGGTCAAGGTGTCCGGGGAGAAGCTGGTGGAGATCGTGATCGTAGGAGACGACGGTGAGAATAGTAAGAACTACTACGGTAAGAACATGTACCTGTGCGCGCCGAGGTGGAAATTATTAAATTTTTTATTTGCCACATCATTCATTTAACAGTCAACTAATAGAGTTGATTGGTACATAGGACAAACTTAACAAAGTTGAACGGAGAGTGACCAATGACGAAACAAAAATGTAAAGTTAATGACCGAAATTAAATATTTCTAGTGACGAAACAAAAACTTTTTTTGTAATTTCACCAACGAACCATGCAATTAACCCTAAAATCTTGAAAGCTAAAATTGGTCAAGTATAAAAGAAGAAAATATTCAAAATCGTTCAAGAATAGGCTTTAAAAAACTGTCAAAATCAGTGCAAATGGTCTTCAAAATCGGCCAAAAATAACCAATAGAAAAGAGACAAAAATCAATCTAGAGTAACCAATAAAAAAATCAACAAAAATTTGTGATGCATATAACTTTCAAGATCGGACAAAATCTGTGATGAATATAGCCTTCAAAATTCATAATGGATGACAAATCCCTAATCCTCCTGGAAACTAAAGTAAACTCCATATTCCTATACACATCCAAAACTTCCTATTCTATATCTTACATACTTTCTTTTCCTACACAGAGCATTGTAGCAATGGAAGCTCCGGACAATCCACTTAAACATAAAACAAAAGAGTGACATGTGATCAAAAGACTCGCTGATCATCGCCCATTCCCCCTCATTCTTTTCATTTACAGTTCATCAGCACGGAGTTAATGACATACATGAGAAGCCGGATGTTGGAAGCATCCCCTGAAGAAGTTGTGGGTAGATTCCTGTGATGATTCAGTATCTGATACACCTGCTCGAATATGGGTCTCACGTGCACAGAGATCATTGGATCTGCAGGGTTGATGGCCACTGCCACATCAGCCATCCATGATACCTTCTTGGTGGTCTCGTTGATGATGTCACACGCCAGTTGTTGCAGCAGTGCCAGTATTACTCCTTGGCTTAAAGGTAGTGGTGACATGGACAATATCCCCTTCAAATCAACCTGCTCACAGAAATCCGAGAAACTGTCAGCCAACCAACTTCAGATAAAAAAAACTCCACAACTAATCTTTCAAAAGCATTGGTACCTGTGAGCATAGCCAGGATACTATGGACACATCGCTTCTATGAAGAGCTTTATGAAATGCATCGTCATACTTGCCTTCAGCAATCAGTCTAGATAGTTCTTTCGTAGGATCTAATGGTGCCTCAGACTGCTAATATAATGCATACATACCAAATTAAAAGCAGTCATATACTACAAAATTCTAACCGGAAAGAGCAACAGTAGAGGCAAGAGGATCACTACCACTTTCAGCTAAAGCCACTAGACAGACATCAAGGAGTAAAAGGCATACCATCTCATGCAAACTTGACAACGGTCTATTAGTCAAAGCAGACGGCTGAATAGCTTTGGAGTTTGCAATAGCTAAGAGCTTGCGCTGACCGTCAGCCAGCTCTCCACTTAACGTTTGAGTGATTGAAGATGCTGAACTGATAGCTTCCTACAGTTGTCCAAAACACCCTCATCCTGAGTTAACGGCAAATAAATAAACTCGCTTGCAGCTTGCATAGCAGCATAGCTTCAGAGATGAACATACCCTAAGAGCAACTGCTAGAGAAGAATGTGTGGAATCAAACTGCTGCTGGGCAGCATTGATATGACTGGAAAATCCTTTCTGAAATGTAGCATCAACTTGATCGAACATAGCTTTGCAAGCCATCTCAAATGCAGGAATTACTGAAGCTTCCAGACTAGATCTCAATGACTCCTGCAACAAAGTTTTGTTCCCATGAAGGAAGCATATATAAGTTTTATAATCAATCAAACAGGGATCCTAACTAAGATGGAAGCAACAGATGGGATCAGTGGAGAAACAACAATACCTGCAGTGCCTGCTTGCCAGAAGTTTGAAATTGTGACTGGATTTGCCTTGCTACTGTCGCTTCCATTTTTGAACTAACAGACCTCTCCAGTTGGCCCACAGCCTTCTCTCCAACCCCTTTCTGCAAAGTAGGAACACAAATTAACAAAGTTCAGGAAATGCAGAGCAGAACAGCGTATATCGACCATCCCCTATTGTTTAGATGTATAGTAAACCTAGCTGAATAATAACTAATGCAAATTCACAAGTGATTTAAATAGAGATGACGATCGCCTTAGTCCCATTTTTACCCAAGCACATCTGAAGACATAGAGATCAAGAACAACTTTGACACTTAACTAACCTGGAATGACTCTGCAAGAGTTGATGATACAGTCTTCTCTAGAACAGGAGTAACCGCACGAGCTACAGCAGGTACAACACCAGCCAACTCCTTCTTCAGAACCTTCTCCAAAGCAGATGGGAAATCCTTGTTCATAAAATTCGTAAGCAAATTCGTCAATTGCTGGTACCGTTCTCGGTCTAACTTCTCGCGTTTTGCATTTTCTTCTTGTAACCGAGCCCACAGACCATCTGTATTTGCCTTTACAACTTTTTCTACACTCCGGCCCAAGGATGCCTCTAGTCTTTTACCTTCTTTTGAAACAGGGACTGAAATTACTGCATTCATCTGTTTTTGCATGTCTTTCTGCATATTCATCAACTGTCGAAACAACCAAACCATCATTAATCTTGAATGGGAAGGATCTAAATGCTTTTCTACTTGTTGATCATCAACCATCAAAACAAACGCAACTAATTGCCACAGTCGTAAGGATGTAAAGTATGAAGAAAAAAGAGGCATCCTGAGTTTTAGAATTAAAGCAATTAAGGATTAACTCGCAATTAAATACATACAGTATCCCTGCTAAACTGTCCTAATCATTACCGAGACTTTTTTCCTAGCTTCATCTTACTTGCTTTATGCATGTGGTAAGATAGTCTACTAGATGTTAAAATACACATAAAACAACCAACTGCTCCATTATCTGATCATATCAAACCTCATACAGCTTTGTACCCACCAACCAGCAACAGAACCCAGATAAATAAAGCGGGAAATAAGAAGAGAACTTCGTATAGTCCAAACAGTTGCACACCGAATGGCAAATAAGATGGTACCGACTCCTGTTCCAAATACCTGTTCGAGTTTATCATGCATGGCTGCTAGCTGGGAGATATCAGCACCACTGACTTGAGGAGCAGAACTGCAGGCTGGTTCATTGGACGAATCCGCAGAATTGAACGGACTTGGAGATGCTGAAGGTGGTGCAGTTCCTTGAGAATTTTTTCCCTTCTGCTTTTTCCCTTTTACTGTTGGGCCTGGGGACTGCGGAACTGTTTGGAAAGTTTCTGACTCACTAACTTTCTGTGTCATGTCTTTTGTAGTGTCTCGCTCGCCAGCTTCAGCATTGTTCACAGGTCTGTCAGGTAACTTGGTGACAATATCCTCATTAGATTGCAGAGCAGCCCCTGTAGCATTTGATTCAGGGCCACTATCACTGGGCATTTGAATGCTAAGATCAGAAGCCTGAGAATAGAAAGACTTTTCCTTTCTCTCGGGGACAATATGGGATTCTCTGCTCAAGTCAAATCCACTATTTTGCTTGGTTCCCATCTCAACTACTTTAACATCTACAACTTCAACACTTTCTGTATCATTGTTGACAATCACATCCTGCACCTTAGGCTCTCCGGTTGCCATTCCCATAGAAACAAGGGAATTATCCGTAGATGGAGCCCTCAATAATATTTCTGATGGAGTCACTAAATGTGTAGGGTGCTTAAACACTGTTGAATGCTCCACCACCATTCCAATATCAGTTTGTGCAATGCTTTTCTCACCCTTCCTCACATTTTCATTCAAGTGAGAGTTCTCAGGCACATTATCCTTCTGTAATTCTGGTCTATGGCTAAGCAAATAATCTGTCAAGGGATGTCCCTCACCACGATCGGTGATAGGTAAGCTGGTATCTGTGCTATTTGATGAGTTCTCAAGACCAGACAGTTTGGAAGATAACCGAGGACTTGAAGGAGGCGGTGGTGTCAAGATGCTAATACTTTCAACATTACTATGGACCGTGGTGGTAGTCTTGATATCAACGCCTGAAGAAGGCATTGGAGGCAAGTTGGTATCGTCAGGACATCCCAAGTTTTCATGATGAGATGCAATTGAAGCACTCACCACGACACTTGCATATGAAGGTGGTGCAGAAGTTGTGTTGCCTGCAGGTATCTCGATGGGGTTATTCCCAATAGACGATTCGGTTACACCAGACACAGCATCAAGAGCATGAGAGGCATTAGCTTCTGTTTTCTCCAATTCAGCATTTTCTATGGGAGGTGGCAGACACTGCAACAAGTCCAGTGCATACTGCTGGATAGCTTGTGTCTGTACACAATACACTTGCACTATGTGTTCTCCATTTGGCAAGCTGTCACTAGTTCCAGTAAGACTCAAAATGGGCATTGTAACGGTGAACTCAGCTATGTAATCCAAGCGAGTTTCCACTGGACATGACCCATACTCGATGTGAACAGCATAAATTGCATTTTTCTTCGCATTTGCCAATAGAAACAAACAAGCCCGAGGCAAAGCCACAGCTTGGTTGAAGAATGCATCCTCTGCATTAGACCCAGCTGAAGTTAAAGTCAACGTTTGAGTACAATTCCACAATTCAGAATCACTGGGTAACAACCATCCATTCTCACTCGAGGAAGCCCATACCCGCAATTCCTGGTTGAGTGGACCCTGCAAATAAGGCAAAACTATTTTTAAGTATCTTGCATTTAGATCAGGAAATATTTATATGGAAAAAAGCAAGCACGACAGAATGTGTATGTATATAAACTGCACTCCCTACTACAACGCTTCTGGTTCTTGTTTCTCACTACCAGAACCATGAACATCGAAATAGATCATTCTATATTTTGAGAAGTCGAGTATAATATTGCAAAATCTAGCCATCGAAGACAAAGGGAATACCCCAGTTATGAGTACGATATGATCTGGTCGGTGAGGGCCAGTCAAGAATGCCACAGAATTTACAGGATTTCCATCATGTGGCCTCAAAACTGCAAGTGGTGTCACCCTGCGATCATCCCAAATTTTAACCTGCCACAATATAACTTAATGAGTAAGAGCAAATAGAACCATATATTGATCATCTCAGTCACCACAAACAAGCAAATGATTATATTTATTTAGGGAATCACAGCTTCAAATATGATTGAAGCCGAAAAATATTAACTAACAGCCACATGTCAAATCGAACACAAGAAATGACAGCAGAAAGCATGCAGAGAATCTGTCATCAAGTAATCCTAACATAAATAAATTAACAGCAGAAAGTGAAGAGGTGAAGCTTGTTTACCAACTGAAAATTTTGAGGTATTCCAGATAGTTTCAAGTGATGTCGAGTAGCTATTAGAGTTCAAAGAATGGAGAAATGTAAAAAGACAAACCGTTCCATCAGACGACGCTGAAGCTAAACGGGTAATCATCCATTGAGACATTGATAATTCAGTAACTTCGCCATCATGTTTACCAACAAATTGCACACCATCAATCAGCTTATCTATGGAACAGCAAAGAGGCTTCTCTGCTGAAAACCTATCGCCTTTACCAACTTTAAGAGTATCAATTTTCAGTACACAATTTCGAATTGCAACCATGACGATTTCCTGTAAATGAAAATAAACAAGGTTTTTTGTCAGGTATTATACAGAACTCTAATAACGAAGCATGCCGATACAATGAGTAACATAAAAACAACTTCCTCGGTAGCTAATACAACATTACTTGTTTGTGAGGATGCCAACAGACACGTGGATGGAC